GCGGGAGTGGCCGGCGGCTGGATCCCAGTGCTGCAGAAGGAATCTCTGGCAACAGCCTCCTCCCAACAGGGACTCTTCCAGGCTCTCTCTCTTGCCTCACTACCTCTAAGAAAGGCCACTCTGTCCTCTGCGGCTCAGCCTGTCCCTCCTGTCCCTCAAAAGCGTTACTTAGCACAGATGAGCATGCGTTTTGGTCCCTGATCTTAGGGGCCCAAGCTCCAAGCAATCAGAAAGTCTTCCCAGGTATCTAACTTGACTGTGGCCACTGCAGGTGACACTTCTCTCCCCAGCACTATTCCCACATCTTCCTGGGCCCCCTCTTCTCACAAGGCAGAAGCAACACGAAAACTGACTTCCGAGAATCTTAGAATGTCAGTGCAGGAAGGGCCTGCAAATCAGCAATTCAATTCCCCCAGTTGACAGAGAAGGACAGTGAGGCCAGAGATAGAAGACACTGTCCAACATCACCTGGAAAAGAGGTGCAGGAGCCAGGGCTTAACACCAGCTCTTCTGGTTCTCTCTGCCTCCCGCTAAACAAAAGGAGAAACCTGAGAGCTGCTCCTGAATGTAATGAGAGACGGAGCAAGGAGTCAAACTCTGTATTAAGGATCTCGGGACCTCAGAGCCCCCAGAACACCAGAGGCCAGGAGCACAAGGGAGAAGGGGGCCAAATGAACAGAACCCCCAGAAATCTTGAGGTAGATCATGCCTCTGAAGGGCCTTAAGCCTCGGAGGTGCAGTCTTAATGGAACGCGTAAAGCATCTCTCACTGGTGAGGACAGAATTTGTCATTGATTTGGGGCTACTACGTGGGGGAGAAGTAAAATCACTTCTCGCAGCCCCGCCATCCAGGAAACACTTGGGCACCACGCTAGAGGCAATTAAAAGGTACGCTAAGCATTCAAAGTCTGCAGCTGTTGCTGGGACTGTTCACTCCACACCTGGGGTGGACGGCAGGGGCCCTAGGGCACAACCCAGACCTGAACGTCCAGCAGAGCGGCCTGCCCACCTGCCCACCTGGCCTCTTGCCATAAATCCCCCACCCCAGCTGGGGTTTAGCCACCTGCTCCCCAGCATCTTAAGACATCCTCCCTCTTCAGACTGCCAGGCTGCTAGGAGCTGGATTTGACTCTGAATGGGATGACAGCCTCCTTCCCTCTGCACTAGGCCCTTCTCCCAAGAGTCCCAAAGCCCACCGAGGCCTTCCAGGGATGCCAGTGACACCCACTGGCAGGCTACTAGGCCCCATGACCCCTGTCCACACGACCCTGTCCAAAAAGCCATTACTCCAAGCATGGTCTGAGTCTACTCCCATCAGAATCACCTGAGATGTGTTCAAATGCTGGTTCCTGGACAGCCCTACAGACTCCACAATGGGGGTGGGGGTACAAGGCTTGGGAGCCTGCATTTCAATATATTCCCTTGGTAATTCTGATGCAACTGAAACTTTGAGAACTACTTTCTCACAGTGTCCCAGGCTGGCTACACTCATTTCTGCAGCCAACCTGACAGCTGTTACAGCTGTGTGTGTGGACACAGTTAATCTGATTTCCTGTCTGGCAGCTGTGCAGCAGCAGAGGGACAGCTGAGGGTCTCGAAAACAAGAAGAAGGGATGAGGTAGGAGGCGACCGGGGCAGGGGAGGCTGTCTGAATGGGATGGGGTTGCAACTCTGTTCCTGAAGCTCCTTCCCCTGTCGGGCCAAAATCCCCGCAGGGAAGGAAACAGCTGACCAAGTGGTCCCCAGTATTTATAGAAAACGGTCTCCTCTCAGAAAGTTCAGGAGCCTCCCCAAGGCCAGACTGCTCTCTATTCTCTAGACGCACAAAGACAGGTCTACCACATAAGGTTGTACAGGTTGTGTACTGCTCAAGGGCTCCTAAAGGACTAAAGGGGCAAGTTGGGGACTAAAATCTAGCCCATGCTCCAACTGCTAAGCCATGTGCCCTGGCATGAGGATATATCCACCCAGAAGATGGCCACCTTTTAAAAATTTGCACAAAGGGTCTCTTATGTGGGTTGGCAGTGCCCCTACACAAAGGTCTGAGTCCAAATCCCAGCTGTCACTTACTCTGTGACATTGGGCAAGTTCTTTAACCTCTCTGATCCTTCTCAATTAGAAAACATGGCTGTTAATACCTTCCTAGAAGAGCTAAGGTAAGGAAAACACCTGATACCCTGTCACTTAGTACACTGTCATATTAGTTCTCTTCCCACCCAAGTCTCACCCTTCCTACCCTCTCCACACCCTACACCTACACACCCACACACCCAGCCAAGCTTGGAACGGTCTGAAGAACGTGAATAAGAATATCAGGGGAAACCCCAATACCTAACTCAAACCCAACACTTCCCAACATCTAGAGTATCCTTTCCTGGCACAAGCAGGATTCACAACCTCCCCCACTAGGGAAAGGAGACTCCTCCTCCACGCCTGCTCATAATGTCCTGCACGCTGCCGAAGCATCAGCTCTGCCTAATCTAGGCCGGAGGGGAATCCAGGGCCCACAGGGTGGAGGCAGGAGAACCCCCAGCACCGTGTCCTGGGGAAATCCCCCACCAGAGTTCAAGCTCCCGGGCTCCCCAAGCCAGGACCGAGCCTGGATGAGGGCGTGCCCACTGTGTGCTCGGCTGTTGTGGGGGAGCCATTAAGGAAGACCTAGGGTGGCACTACTGAAAGCTGTGATCTGTCCCCGGCCTCAAGCAGGAACAGCAGAGTGCCCTGCCAAGGCTCTGGCTTACCTACTGGGGCAATTCACCATATGTATTCACCCAGAGGGCCAAGCCCCAGAATAGAGCCCAGGAATCCTGCCATCAGCCCTGGATGCCAGCCCCTCAAGCATCATTCATTCATCTTTGTGCAAGGCACTGTGCTAATGCTGGGGAATGGCCATGAACAAGATAGCCCAGAGAGCAAGGATGCCCCTAAAATGGGGTTCTAAACACCTGCTGCTGGACGGAGTAGACAGTCCATCCTGGAAAGCCCCCGTTTCCCAACCGCTTGCACAGAGCCTGGTGGCACATACAGCTCAAGAAGCGTCCTTGGACACCTGCTTTTATAGCCACAGGCTTCAGCATCCTGTCTGGAGACCGATCAAGAGATGGCAGCGGGTGGGGGGAAACCAGGCTGCCTGGGCCCTCATGGCTGTGTTTATCCAGGGTGGATTTTTTTTTTAACCCAAAGGTTAAAGTGTTTCTATTTGAAACATCTATTTACATTCCAGAGTCAAAAAAAAAAAACAAGGCAGCCAAGCTCCAGGCCTATATCTGTCCCCAGCCACGTCACAGACACAGCATCAGCGCTGCGCAGGGGGGAACATTCTTAGCCCTCTCCCCGAGCCACTGAGGTGACTCACGCCTCCCTCCTGCCAGCATGGACCAAGCCACCGCTCAGAAAGCTAGGCAGTGTGTATGTGCTGGGGGGAGACAGACCTGGAGAGGGGCTGGTTGAGGGGTTCTGTGCAGCTAGAGGCAGCCTTAGGGAAAGGATGGGGGTAACAGGGTTCCATCCTGCAAGAATCCTGGAGCCTAACTTGAAAGAAGGTGAGAAAACATACTGAGGAAGAAACTTCAGGCCAACTGCCAGGGCTGCTGGGAGGCAAGGGACAGCAAGAACAGGGCAGGATGGGTGGACTGATACGGCATCTGCCAAATGGGGTAGAGCTGCCCCAAGCAGATGCTCTGCACAGTCAGTCCTTTGCTTTCCAAGAGACGACCTTGACTCCTAGAGGTTTTGGAGTAGGGGTCAGCAGGCGGGATCTTTAGCTAGAGCTGCAAACTCAACTAGACAAGGGCTAGACCAGCCCTAGATGTTTACATCCCTTCCTAGGGGACTATCTAGGGATTCTGCAGGACTGGTCCCCAAAGTTATGCCCCTACCCTAGGAGACTACATGGGCATCCTTGCCCAGGCAGATGGCAGGCCTTGTTCCAAGGTTTTTCCAAATCTTCCCAAAACATTCATCCTCTGACACATCCCAATCCAGCTGCAATCTTATCCCTGGATGGTTTAAAGCCAAATCACAGCTCCCACCTTCCAATTCAAAGCTTGGGACCCACACCCACGTATCCAGAAGCAAAGACTTCCAATACACACACACACACACACACACACACACCCCAAGTGCCAAGCCACTGCCAGGAGGGGCCAAGCGGGCATGAATCCAGCAGGCCCCTCCCTCGAGGAAGCATCTTGTGGTGCCGGCCTGGTAGGGAGGTTGTGCCAGAAAGGCCTGATGCTGCCAACAGGTTCCTGGGAGGGAGGGAGGGAGTGGCCCTGCTCTGGGGGACCCCACCCCCAGCCAAGAGCCAAAAAAGTCCCTGCTGAGAAGGTGGCAGGGCTAGGAGGGTCCTCATGCCCATATGAAGGCACCTCTTTGTCCTGATGAGATGGGGATAAACCAAGGCCTGGGAGATGGAGACATATGGGGGAGCTAGGAACTAAGGCAGCAAAGGTCCCCGATATCTCAGCTGCTAGCCTCTGCCTAACTCTACCACAACTGCACAAGTCTCCTTGCCAGATATCTGATTCCCAGGGGACTCCAGGCTGGGGACTTGCAGAAATCACTGAACGGGACCCTCTGCCCCTCGGAACCCAGCCAGAGGAGCTGGGGTAGCCTTTATTCTTGTGGACACAGCTATGGCTTCTTCCCCTGCCCAAATCTGGGGGGCAGGCAGCCTGGAGACAGGTCACTGACCCACTTCCTCCTCTCTGACCACAGTGCCAACTACACCAGGATCCTCTAGCCATCCACAGCCCCTAGCAGCTGATGAGGACCCTGCTGGGCGCCAAAGGGACTTGAAGGGATGTAGCCAAGCGCAGCTGGAGGGAAGGCAGGAAAACCCACCTCAGTGAGCGCGGCTCCACTGACTGCCCGTATTCTCAACACAAAGCCCCCCAGAAAGAGCTAAGCAGGACCCCATCTGGGCAAGGCTCAGAGCCAGATGCTCAGCCCCAGGGTGCCCAATGGCAGACGGCAGGCAGGGACACTGAGGCACTTACCTGCCACAGGGATGCCGTGTAGAGGGGTCCGAGGCAGGATTTCCAAGGATGGTTCCCGGGCTGACATCCCATCTGCTGAGAAACAGGATTCCGTCTCATAGATGGTCTGTAGCATCTCCACGAGCCCCTGAGCCTTGGGCACCAGCAGCATGCCAGGGAGGGGGCCGCCTGAGGCGGGAGTCGGCCAAAGGGAAGGTGGTCGGGCGGGGCCCTCGCTGCTCAGGGGCTCCCTCAGGCCACTGCTGCTGGGACCCGCGCTGTGGGGAGGTGCCTCATCCGGCCTGGGCACTCCTGGCAGCAAGAAGAGCCAGGAGGCCCTGGAGCTCCAGGCCCAGCTCTCTCCTAGAAGGGCATCCCACCACCAGCCTGTCCCCAGCTCCCAGGAGCTGGGCTATGGCTGAACACTTGGGGGACAGGAAGGGGAGCTCAGCAGGCAGGCGGGCTCTCTGTGTTCCCTCCCAGCCCTGGGTGACAGCTCTGGGCCTGGCTCCCTGCTCCTCCTTCCCGAATGAGCCGCCGGCAGCTGGCAGGAGACTGAAATAGCAGTTGGGGGAGGGCCCTGTCTATAAATAGGTGGAGCATGCTCAGGGAGCAGCCGGCTGGCTGCCAGGAGCCCAGGCCTGGCGGAGGCCCCATGGGGGGAGGCGCGTTCCACCCCAGGAGGAAGCGCCAGGCAGGGGGATGGGAACAGGAGGGCCTGCACTCGGGGCCAAGGCCACAGAGCCGATGGCCAGAGGCTGGAGTGTGGAAGGGCACAGCCAGAGTACCCACGTATCTGGGAGCAGCTCTGGTGCTGCTCTTGGCAGGAGAGGGGCTGGAAACCAAAAAACACGACTCCATCCTCTATCTTCCCCCTCGCCATCCAGAGCAGGTAAAGGAACCAGAAGGGTCTGCCAAGAGGGTGGCAGACAGGCCACCTGGCCCTAACCTTGCGTTTTCCTTGGAGTCCTTCTAGCAGCTGAAATGGGAGTTTATTTAACTTCTGCCCTCCCTCAGAGCTAGGAGGTGCCTCCCCATCCCCTCAACCAGCAGGGAGACCCCTGAGCAGCAGCTCAATGGCAGTACCCTCCAGAGGTTGCTCAGCTTCCCTCCAGGGGGCAGGAGATTCTTCCTGGGCAGGCCTCACCCCCGCCCAGGGAAGGGGACCAGGGAGCACCTGCCCACTCTCAGAGCACAGGTAGCTCTTCCCTGGCACCGTGCCAGGTGTAATGCTAACAGCAGCACATACATCGCTTCATTCAGTCTGCACGATGACCTCAGGAGATAGGTGCAGACAGGGAAACTGAGGCACAGAGAGATGAAGTCACTCACCCTAGGTCATACAGCTACTTAAATGGTAGGGCTGGGATGTATGAGTTCTAACCACCACAGCCACTGCCTCCTGCACATGGGAGTACATGAAGCTGCCCCAAGGTTTCTGTTAACAGGTACAATGACCCCCAGTACCCAGGTAGGAACAGACTTGAGGTTGGAACCCCTCTAAGAACAGTCAAGAGGCTGCCAACATCCAGCTCTTCCCCACCAGCCGCGGGCCTGGCAGAGGAAGCCCTGCTCTCGGGGCCCTGCTGGGACCTAGGGCTGATGCCCCATGAGGACTGGTGGTACCCACCTACCCTGCCCACTGCTGGTGCCTCCCTTCTCCTCGGGCTGTGCCTCCCACTGATACAGAGATCCCACTTGGCCCCCTGACCTCACTGGAGCCTTTTAATAGCTTGGTTATTCCTGGGTCTGTGTCCCCCTCCCCCTTCCTGATGTCACAGTTGCTATTTTGGAGCCCCCTCCTGGCCCCTTCTTGCCCCCAACTCCAGGCATGGAGCCAGGGACACCTGTCCTCTCCCTGGACTGGATGACCTCACCCTCTCGTCAGGAGCCCGGGAGGAGCTGGCCAACCAAGGACACCATGGCTGTGGCCCCTGCAGTCCATCTTCCCAGCCGACTTCTGCCAGCCAGGGATGACAAAGGTGCCTCCTGCCCTCAGGTGGGAGAGCATATGGACAGGGGAGGTGGCAGAGGTGAGCTTTCCCAGGCTGCAGGCTGACTGGCAAGGTGTGTATTTGGGGGGTGGGGGGAACAGGACCTGAACAAAGATCTGGAGCCTCAGCTTCTCGGCCAGGGCGGACTCTAGAAAAACGGTGCTGGAGCAGTGTACTCACAGGGGACTGGAGCTGGTGAACACTTTAGGATAGGTCTGGGGACCTCGTTCACCATTCTGAGCCCCAACCTCCTGGCCAACCAGGCTCTCTTTAGAGGAAGGGAAGGCCAATGTCCCCTCAGTGGGGTGACGGGCAGTTGATTCAAGGGAGCCCAGAAAGCCGGGGGCAGCAGCCCCTCCCAGCCCAGTACTCCACCCACCCAAGCTAGGCGCAACCGGAAGGGCTGGCTAGCCCTGTCCCGGCTCTCTCAGTCTGCCCCAGGCACAGGAGAGTATGGTAGAGGAGCCCTGCTCTGGAGGAGAGGAAGTCACCAGTTACAATGACTCAAAGCAGGGCCCCAGAACCCGGAGTGTCCAGAAACCTAAAGAAAGAGAACTCTCTGCTTAGGGAAGACAGGAGCACCCAGGAAACTGACACCCAGAGGTGGCCAAAGCCAGGGGTGTGGGGCAGTAACCAGCACGGTTACCATTTCCAGTAACAGCAATGAAGTGGGAAGCAAAGTGTCAGACAGCCAGACAACCCTCAGTGCAGTTCCCAGAATCCTCCAGGGGAATAAGAGAGGAGGCCTGGGGTAGAAAGAGTCTTTCTTTACTTCTGAGATTCAGCTGATGCAACAAGCTCTCCTAATGTCTAATCTCAATCCCTCCTGCTTTATAGCCCCTCTCCCCGAAGTCCATGTCTCTTCTCCATCCTCACCCATCCAACACTCCCACGTGTCATCCTATGAACCTCACGGAGCACCCACCGAGCATGGGGCACATGAGCCTCATTCGCAGCCAGCACCATACCGTCCCCTCTGAACCACAGTGACCTTGTTCCTTCCCTCGGAGGCTGGGCTCAGGTCTCCTAACCCCGTGTATCTGGAGGAGGGGCACTCAATGCTGGCTCCTTGGGCTTCTCCAGGCTCCCATTTCCTGGGCCCAAAAGGCTGGGATGGGGCCTGACCAAAAGGAAGAAAGCGATGTCTGCTTTGTGCACAGTACGAAAGCCAAGGGCTGGCCTAGGAGCACCCTGGATGGAGTGTGGGGTGCCAGCTTCCCTGGGGCCCCGGAGACATCTGGCCTGCCTGCCCTTCAGTTCTCTCTTGCCCTTTGAGCCCAGTCATGCTGGAGCTGTCGGCATCACCTGGGAGCCACCATGTGCCAGGTCCCATGCTAGGTGCTGGCTGAACCCTCTCATTTGAAACCAAGTCCAGGAAAAACGTGAACACCTGCTTTGGCATCTTCCACATCCCCTCAGGTTTGACCCTGCCTCCTGCCACCATCCCATTCTAAGCCTTCAATCCCTTTGGAATGATGGAGCAGGGAAGAGAAGGTGGTGCACACCCCAATCTGTAGTGAACGCAGAGATGCACCAAGTGGTTCCTAAGTGGAGAAGGGACACCGGCAGTCCACTTCCCAGACCCCCGCCCCATGCTGGCACTGACCCACTTTCTCCTCCTCAGGGCTGGCTGCTCGCCTTCCCCAGGGGCTCAGAGGCAGAGCCTGAGCCTGAGGCTGGGAGGCAGGACGCCGAGGTTCCTGGCTCCACCCCACGCCCATGCCCCAGTTTCTCTGGTCACCCAGAAAGGAGAGGGCAGCTGCCCTCCCTCCTGGGAAAGGGAAGGAGAGAAAGTGTGGAGTGTGCTGGGAGGTGCTGGGCAGGCAGGTGTTGTCATGAAGCTTGTCTCCCTCCCACGCTGGGGATAAGGAACCTGGCCGCCTCCTCCTACAGCCCTGTCGCCATCTAGACTGGCCTCACTCTTGCCCTCTCCTCTGGGCAACGGCACACAGGACAGGGCAGTGACCAGAGCAGGCCTAGGTCCCAGGTCCCAGGTCCCGGGGCAGCTCCTCCAACCTGGTTGGGCCAAGCCCAGGCAGGGGACATATTCTGCCAGTCCTTCAATCCCACTGAGAGGAGCAGAGGTGATCAGTTCCAGGAAAATAAAGAAAGCCTAACTCCTCAAGCCCCCTTTTGCCAGAAGAGGGAGTGGCCTCCTCAGGGAAGCAGGCAGCCCCATCAATGGCCTCTGCCTATACTCAGGACTGCAAAAGAGGCAAATCAGGTCAAACATGGCGTTTGGCCCAGCCTAGAGGTAAGTCGATCAGCTCCCACTCCCTGGGGAGGAGGGGTAAGCCCCAGAAGTAAACTGCTCTGCGTCTCGGCCTGCTGCCCCTCACCCAGCACACCCTCTCTTAACTAACTTGTTTGCTTATGATGGCAGGGATGGACCACCTTCTATTTTTCTTCTGTTTCCCCACAGACCGAGCTCAGGTTCTCTCGCGTGTTGGGGATACTCAGCAAGAACTTGTCAAATAGGAAAGCTCCTGTACTGAGAAATTGAAGGGAACCCAGGAACAGTGCTATTCTGCGCCCTAAGGAAAAAGGGGTGAGTCTTTGGGGAGTACTCAGGGGCCAGGACACCCAGGCCCTGGGGACTAACCATTCTCATCGTTCCCATCTCGCCCCAGCCCCACGGCCCCATGCTCTTCCTGGTCCTCTCTGCTGGGTGTCCACGGGCAAAGTGGACACCCGCATGCTCCACCTACAATTCATGGTTTCATTTTACTTCCGTGGAGTCCAAAGGCACATGGTATCCAGGCTTCTGCCTGGCGCCGGGCACCCACATCCCCAGCTCAGATGCCACCCTGAGCTCTGGGAATAGCAGATGCTGGGCCCCTTGAAGAGGACGAGACGTGTGGAGATGACTGTCCCCCTGAGCAGCTCTAACCCCACAAGCGGGAGAGCCAGTCCCAGAGCCCCAAGAAAACTCGATAGGAAGGGCCTCAGGGGACTGCCTCCACGCAGTGTCCCCAGTTCTGAGGTCTCCCCACCTTCCTAAAATGAGGTCCCCAGTCTCTGGCCCCCTTCTCTCCCTCCTTCCCAGACACAAGAAGACAGCATCTCCCCCTACTGGGGGGAGTTGGAAAGCTGGCCAGGAGGCACAGCCAATTCTATCGACCCTACTCAGGAGGCACACCACCCCCCACGCTCCCACCCCAACTCCCTGCCAGGCTCAGCAGCGCTCCAAGGCTGCCTGCCTCCTGCACTGGTGGACACCTCCAGCTACAACACTCCTGGCAGAAGTGGCTGCAAGGGGTACTGGGACCACCAGCATCTGGAAAGGCAACCCAGTGACTTCATCTATCTGAGGTTAATTATTCTAGCCTTTCACTTAAGGGAATAAAATCCCAAAGCTGGGAAATGTCCTTTCCAAGCTGCCAACAGATGTCTCTGGACAGCTTCTGTTCCCTTGGCCCTGGGTTAGACCCCAGGCCTGATGTGACTGGAGGTGGCTCCTGGACAGGTCAGTGTAGCAGCTCAAAGGAAAGGAGCAGTTGGCACTACTGCCAGGCATAACTGACCCTGCTAGGGACAGTGCCC